GTACTTTTAAGTTCACACATCTGCTTCAGAATATCAATCATTAATTGGTAAATTGCCACACACTGGACCATCACAGCCTGGTTTAGGCCAGGTCACGTAAAGGCTGTCGTCGGACTTAAGACCTCCAATTACTGTCTTTAATGGTTAAGCAGCTTTAGAGCCAGTAGGTGTGTTTAGGGCCATTGTTCTGCTGAAAACAAACATTTCAGCAAAGCTCAAACGATGTTGTCAGATCACTTATCTTGGTTAAATATTGCCATGATTTTTGAATAAATTGCAATAACACTGCAGCTGTTTGCCAACACTTCATGGGGAACAAATATAAAAACACATTTATTTATCAGAAACTTTTATACATAAATAGAAGTAAAAAAAAAATAATAGTATATTCTGACTCATAAAACTAAAGACAAAAACAAACAAACAAAAACCAACAGCAAATGATAATAATCTAATTTTACTCCTTCAGTGTTACTCCCTCTTTTTCTTACAGGATACCAATATAGAGATTTAAAACAGTTTTACCTCTCAGCATTTTATAAATTAAAAAGCTTATGAACAACTAATATTACATGTGTTGTAAATAGCTCTTTGAATGACCTCAGTTTGGAGAAATAGAGATAAATTCTGGCCGGACTGACGAGCAACACAAGTGGATTGCTGCTGTCTCAACCCTCCTGCTGCCCTTGGGTCAAAACGACCCATGAGTCTTAACACTGAGGCCTTGTGGGTGATTTAGACCCAAGGTCAGCAGGAGGGTCACGCTAGTCTTAGATATTTCATAGCCGTTAATGTGAATGCTTTGAAAATGACATTGGTGTCAATTTCACAATACACGAGTGCAGCAGCAGCAGCTAGCTGTGGCGCTTTCAGTGCAGCCTGGGCCTGGCTCAGACTCACCTTTAGCTCATCAGTTTTTGCAAAGGGAGGTCAATCAAACAGCTATCAACAGGTAGGATATGAATATGAAACATTTATGATTTTCCCATAGAACCCCAATTCTAAAAATCTGAACTATCCCATTAAAGCAATCATAACTGAATTCATTTAGAAAAAATCGATTGGTATAAACTAAATGGTACCATACCTAGAGTAAATGGTGAATATATATATAGCAACTTTCGATCCTATAAAGATACTCAGAGCTTTTTACACTATCTGTTCCTCATTTACCCATTCACACAGCACAATACTAGATCTCTTCAAAGAATAATCAGTACTTTATCACATTCATACACCGATGGGACACCCATCAGAGGCAATGAGGGGTTCAGTGTCTTGCCCAGGGACACTTCAGCATGTGACTGCTGGTGGATTCGAGCCCCCAACTCTGGCACTGGAGGACGACTGCTCTAACCACTCAGCCACAGCCCCCTACTGCACTGAGTACTGTAATCAAATTTAAAATTAGGTTATAATTACATTGTATTAGAGCTGCTAACTGGACTTGACCGTAATCTGGTTATATTTTGTGTTTACCACCATGGCACTGGTTTTGCTGTTACACTGATTTTAATATAAATTATTGTGCACACTCTTTCTAAACACTTAATCCTGACATGTGTCTGCTGCTTCAGCTCTTTCTCATGGATGAGTTTCTATCAAACATTTAAATTCTGGACAGTTTCATGATAGTTTTCATGATAGTGTTCGTGAGTTTAAGTAAATATAAGTTGATGAGTTATAGCTGAAATGTTTACTGAGTCTGGTGTTTCAACACTATTTGAGTCGAATCCTTCCAGTTAACTTTTGACTGCTGTTCAGCACAAGCTAGCCCAGTTATTATGACTGGTTAATAAATGACTAGTTTGATCTGAAAAAGACATCACGGTAAAGATTTATTGTTTCTATAATAAAAAAAAACCCATAATTGGAAACATCACTTTCTGCGTTTGATTTTGAGTATCTTAACGTGTACATTTTGTCTTCCCTCCGCAGTATTTGGCAAAGAAACTTGGATTTGACACGTTGTGGTTTGGTTATTTACAAACTACAGTTGGCGTGATTCAACTGATTGGAGGTCCTTTGTTTGGAAGGTAGGTTTGAAAAGTTCTCATCTGTCCAAAGAAAACTCCTAGAAACTTCAAGCTTGTCAGTGTGTATTTTGATCAGTCTGTTAATGGTTAGGTGTCCTCCATTGTTAGCCTCCATCAAGTCCACTTTGGCTCAAACAATGACCGATGGTACCATCTGACACTGGTGAACATTGACCGTGAAGTACCAGTACACCGCTAATCTCTTCTGAAGTTGTTCTGGGCTCATCAGTACTATCCATATCTTCAAACTGTCATCAGTGTTCAGTGTGGTACACACCATGACACCAAACAGTCACTTACTCTTTAAGTTGTCAGACTGACTGATTACAAAGTTGGAGACACCTGTGGTGCTGATTACAGGACATGCCTTAGTTTAAAATGTCCCTGCGGTCATATTATTAAACTTTTTCTCTAGCAGTCCCATCATTTTTGTCAAAGCCAGGCCATCAGTCTCCCTTCCCTTACTCCATGGGTCACCTCAAGCTTTTGAGGAGGTATTCAGCAAACTAAATGTACAGAAGGCTGCAGGTCCAGATGGAGTATCTACAGCTGTTCTGAAGTTTGGTTGGGCACAGTTAACTTCTGTGTTCTCTTGAATTTATATATAAAAAAATCCATCATAGAGCAACACGGCTCATGACAGAGGAAGGACGGGATCATCTACAGCACCTACAGTTGGATGTCCACAGCGATGAGGAGCTCGGCAGACTGCTGGGAGGAGTGGCCATCGCTCTGGGAGGAGTTCTGCCCGGCATTCAGACGGTCCTACAGCCCGGGGGAACCGAGAGGCCAGCCGAGTCTGGGTGAACGGATCGGACGGCATCTGCAGCCAGTTTCTTAGGATCCACTGTGGGATGGACCTTTACAAGAGATTCTTTCTGCCTACAGCCATCAGTATCTATAACATCTCTTAACGAAATGAGGATAACGAGTTACAACAACAAATAATTTCCCTTTGGGATTAATAAAGTATTTTTGAATTGAATTGAATCATGTCCTCCAGTTGTGGAAAAGAGCTATCATTGTCCTGGTGCTGAAGAAGGTTAAAGTCACTTGCCGACGTATTGCCCTCATGTTGGTAGTTGTGAAGTGAACTGACTTTTTCCTCCCTCAAAACCACCACTGGCCATCAGCTGGACCCTTTAGAGTTAGCTTACAGATTTAACCATTTTGTGAATGATGCTGGGAATACTGGGAATCTTAGCCTTTATTATCTTCATCACTTGGACAAGAAGAACTGCAGTGCAGTCTCTTTTCTAGACCTCAGTTCTGCCTTTTAATACAATCATCCCCTTCCATCTTTATACAAAACTTCAGCAACTACTTTGTACAATTCCTTCTTGCCATCTGCAAATTTATTAAAGACTTTCTTACCAACAGGTCTCAAAAGGTGAGGTGTGGTACTCACCTGTTTACCCTTATCATTATCAATCTGGGGTACCACAGGGATGTGTACTTGGTGCATATCTGCTTGCTCTGTACACCAATGATCTACACTCCAGTGACCCCTCTGTAAAGCTTGTGAAATACGCTGATGACATCACCATCCTGGGCCTTCTCACCAATGATGATGAAACAGCCTACAGAAACTGCATTTCAGAGTGTACAGTGTGGTGTACAAATAATAACTTGGATTCAATCATCATCAACATGGCTGAGATAATCATTGACTTCTGAACAAATCCACATTCACACCCACCTCTCATCATTATTAGCAATGCTGTTAAAGAAGTAAAGACGTTCAAGAAGACGCTCCTAGGCATCTCCATCACCAAGGACCTGAAATGGGCAAGACACTCTAACAAGGTTGTTGAGAAGGCTCTTAGGAGTAGAGCCTGACCGATATGGAAGTTTTAGTTATCACCTATACCAATAATGGGAGGGGCAGGCTGCCGCCGATAACCGATATAATGGCTGGAAAGTTTTGAGCTTTGTCCACCCCCAAAATTCTAAGAAAACAGCGAGTAAAGTGGGGCTTGTTTGTTTAGTGCAGCTGTTAGCAACCATGAAGCTAAGCAAATCAGATCCATGCTATACCTAGACCCACTCTAGGTTTACAAGCGGTGCATTGGTCATAAAACAGTCTTCCTAAAGTGCGTTCACATTTACTATCCTCCACTGTTCACCATAAAGTTATCAAGTGTGTTACAAAAATATATATTAAACAAAAAAATGCCCTTCCCTGTTCATTATTTAAACAGTCATTCACATATGGTGAAGGCCTAATTAGTATTGAGTAGTATTAGAGCTTTTTTTTTTTCTTTGCAGAGAAGTAAAGATTTCAGACAAACAATACATTTCATTGAGGATGACAAAGATAACGTTACTAACACTGAGATATTTTACCGCTACGCTAGATTTATTGTTCTGGATAAAGTTTTACATGGCAATAGCCTATGTTAGGTTATCTAAACGCTAACTTGCTAACTTGAAACGCATGTAGTTAATGACAAACGACTTGGAGGATTGAAGAGAACTTATTACTGTTGATTTGTTTTACAGATCCGTTAAAATAAATGTACCATGTTCTGTTCAGTAAAATACACTACAAAGTATTGCTCCCTGCTTCGGCTTTGCTGAACTGAAAGTGAAACTTAAGTAAATACAATGACTTGAAATTAGTCTTCATACGCCCTCTGCTGGATACATTGCACAATTACAACTGGTTCACAGCATTTTAGGGCTGACAATTAGAAGTGCTTATTTCGGTAAATAATGGGACAATTATCACCGATACTGATAGGTCCCCAAACATCTATATTGCACTAAATTATCAGCCCTACTGATATATCAGCCGGGCTCTGCTTAGGAGGATGCACTTAACCTGCTTAAAAAGCTAAACCTCTCCACTGAAGTGTGAGCCATTCTACAGAGCCATATAGAGCATAGAGCATCTTGACCTCCTCTATTTCTGTGTTTTACTCTGGCTCCACTGTCCACACTAAACATCAGCATGATTGCATCATGAAGCTGGGCAGTAAACTGACTGGAAAACACCAACAGCAGATCTGCACAGTGTCAGAGTCATGAGATGGGCTTGGAAGATGAGATGGCAGAGGACTCCAGTCACCTACATCAACTTTAAAAACAAATTGCCCTCTGGCTGGAGGGTCTGTGCTCTCAGAACAAAAAGCAGCAGACACAAACATTAGATTGCCCCACTGCTGTCTCACATCTTAACATATTTTTCTCCTGCTCTGCAACCAGGAGAACATCCTGTGCACTGATCCCTGCACATTTGGCAAAATTAATTTGATGGATTGATTGATACGTTTGTTTTTAAAGACTGTTCAACCAAAATTTAAAAGCAAAGACTAATTTTCATTAGTGGATCTTAATTAAATTTGTTCCTTTTATTATATTTGTCAGTTTCAAGCTGTTTTACTGATATTTTTGTGTATTTCTTTTCTTTTCTTTTTTTACAAGGGTACAACCAAATGTTTCCACCTTTTGTACTTATTGTGTCACACCTTCTGTTTGCTGCTGCTGAAGGTCAGGTTTGGTCTTGTTTTCTGTTTTTGGCAGGTTTGGAGATCTGTTTGGAGCTCGAGCTGCCTTGTCTTTAGCGTGTGCAGCGACTAGTGTTTTCTTCGTGCTGCTGGCCATAGCTGACCATCCTTTCCTTCTGTTCATTCACAAACTCCCAACAGTTTTCATGCACGTTCTCCCTGGTGAGTATAACCTAAAAAATTATTATATTTTGGAGACAACCCCAGTCAAGATGGCCACCGCAGCTAATCAACCTTAAAAACCAAAGAAACAACTGTAACTCAGTCAGTTTTACAGACACTGAGCTAAAGTTGGACGTGTTCATCCCTAACACACTCTGAGTCATAACACATCTTGTTACTGCATAAAGTCATGTACAACGCATCCTTTATGATTGTCTATTGTTGTTGTTGTCCACTGTTGTCATCATGTTTTGTTAAAATTCAGGTCTCTCTTGTACGTAAATGAGTCCCTGAGGCTCAATGAGATTAGCCTGTATAAATAAAGGTTGAATGAACAAGGTTGGACCGGAACAACTTAATCACTACTCAACAGAAAATGAGTTCAGTCTAAAACTGGCATGAATGGTGGAGGATGATATTAATTATTGTATGTAATAGTAGACCTTCAATTAAATTAATAATGTTTTTAAGACTGTTGCACATTAATAAGCATTGTTTTCAATGTGCCAGCATAACAAAGTCACACAGAAAACTATACGGGATTATAATACGAGTTTATTGTCATGAGACTCGTTGCTAACAAGCTTTTTTGAATAAAAAAAAAAATCAAGTATCATTGAACTTTTTATTATATTTCTCTTTTGTATTTTCAATTTTAGTGCTGTGACCCAAACAGTTACACAAACACAACCTGGCTCTAAATGTTATTTTTGTCTATCTTTTTGTGAGAGCAGTCCTTTTTTAAAACTTGTTTTTCTGTTTACAGCATGTCAAATGGTCGTCACAGATCTTTCAGAACCGGAGAAACGGGCCGATGCTCTGTCCAAACTCGGTTTGTGTTTTGGCATCGGGATGATCGCCGGCTCCACGTTAGGAGGAAAACTGAACACACTCTATGGGTGAGTTCACCGTGCACTTTGCTCGTATTAATATGTTTCAAACAGAAACAGATCTTCACATCTGACGACGAGGCAGAATATTTATCTTCGCTCTCTTTGCTGGTGTCTTCATCTTCTCAGGGAGACGGTCACTGCGCTTGTTGGTGCTGCAGGCAGCACCTTCAGTTTATTGCTGGTTTTAAACTTCATCCCCAAATCTACTAAAGCTGAGACCTCCATAAGCAACACTAAAAGTAAGAAACGCTTCAACTCTGGTTCTGGCCCCCAAAAAGTGATGCAATCTCACCACCAGGGGCGATTTCAGGATCTGATCTTTAGGGGGGCTTAGCCCCCAGTACTGAACTCTTGGCTTGAACAACACACCCCATAGTGTGGTTGGTGAGAAGTGCATAAACTTGCAGCACCTTGTATTACCAGGCGGTCTCCCATCCAAGTACTAACCAGACCCGACTCTGCTTAACTTTAGAGATCAGATGACACCGGGTGAGTTCAGGGGGGTATGGCTGTAAACAAGGAGCTCAGTCACAAATAGGGATGGGGCCGATCCGATCCAGTATCGGTATCGGCCTCCGATACCAGCATAATTTACGTATCGGATTTTTCCGATCCACCTGCCGATATTTCCGATCCATGATGCAAGTTGGCTTCAAACTATGGAATGGATTTCCTGAACGGCGGCGTGTCTCATGAACCCAGAGTAATAAGACCCGCCTCACATTCAGGAAATCCAGTTCATAGTTTGCAGCCAGCAACAATGTGAGGACTGAGTTAGCAGCACTGTGGCTAACAGCTAACCAACTTTTCATCTAAACATGTCCGCTGTGTGGAAGTATTTTACACTAGAAACAAAACAAGACAACAACGTGCAATGTCTGCAGAGCCATAGCTCCACATTAAACCGTGGTAAAGTTAGTTTTACGATGGACATTCGAGCTCCGTGGCTTCAGCGGGGCGCTGCTCTTTGCTCAACCCAAAACAGGCAACTCGACCCCGGGCAGCCGCGTCCAATCTGCCCCGCTCAGTCTGCCCGTCTCTGAGGAGGGACAGACTGAGCGCAGCTGCCCCAAATCAGGCTGCCTGCTTCGGACTGAACAAGAAGAAGACGCTGAAACCACGGAGCTCAAATGTTTACAGAGAAGTTGCTAAACTTCATCATAATTAATGACCAACCACTATCACTTGTAGAAAACTAAGAATTTCACAGCTTGATACTTGCAGCCAAGATATAGTTTACCATCCAGGAGATATTTATCAGTACAACAGTAGACAATCATAAAAAACAAAAAAAAAAACATGATTTGAAAATTACAAGAAAATTATATATATCTATATATATATATATATCTATATATATCTATATCTATCTATATCTATATATCTATATCTATATCTATCTATCTATATCTATATATCTATCTATCTATGTATATCTATCTATCTATATCTATCTATATATATATCTATCTATATATATATCTATCTATATATATATATATCTATATATATATAGATATATATATATATGAAAAACAAAACAAAAAAAAACAGCTACATTGTCAAGTGATGTAAAATACTAAAAACAGGAACATGTTTGTTGGTTTATGTCATGAACTTAGCAGGTGTTTGAAGACATTTGAGATTTTATTTTATTTTATTAATTTAATCATTCATTTAAAAGAAACAAAATTAAAAAATCAAAAAGAAAACATTGAATGAAAAGAGTGCAGAAAGAAGAAAAAAATTCTTATATCTGCCCCTTATTTAAAAAAAAAAAAAACTTTAAACAATCACTTTAAAGCTAGGAATAAAAAGAAACATGTTTTGTGTTAGCAGAATTTAATTCTAACTTTAAAAATTTATCCAACATTAATACAACTTACCTCAAATTACCTTTTTGGACATGCATGCATGATTTTTCATGAACTCCCTCTGACTGCAAAGTGTTTATAAAGCAAAACCCCACCAATATTGTTGGAGGACAAAGGGGTGCAGCTCCTGCAGGTAAGGGGCGTTTACTTTGAGACAAATTATTTTCACTGATTGGTCAGTTGCTGACAAGCCTCCTGGATTGATTGACAGGTGGTGTAGAGGATCTGACTTGTGCAAATAAAAAAAATAGATTTTACTGGGCCGTTTTAGAGTTTCATAATTTATTCCATTTTTATTCCAAATTTATTCAATATTTTGGTGAATCTAAAGTTTGGCAACTGACCTTACAAAATCCTAATGATGGTTTCTTTATTTTTCAGGGGTGCTGAGTTAAAATTTAGGGGTGCTTGAGCACCCCCCAATAGGAGAATAATATCACTGGTCACCACTAAGTCTGTTTTAAACAACAAGGAACCTTGTTCGTCAGGAGCAGGTCAGGCTCTTGTGTCGTGTGTCTGCTTGATTTTTGTTAAGGTTTTAGAAAAATTCAGTTAGAGTCACCTGCAGTGTCAGGGTTGGTAGATTTTATAAGAACCAAACCCCGGTCCAAAGACAAGGAACACCATTTTTGGGTTAAGGCTCAGATTTCTAAACTGAGTTTAGGTTTAGGCATCCTAATGGTTAGATTTAGGATTAAGGTCTAGGTTAGGTCTTTATGAATGAGATGATTTTTATTTTGAACAGTAAATATTTAAATCCAAACTGAAACATTTTATCTGTCATCTGTTCCTAACACCAGAGATGTTTGAGTGTACAAACACTTTGTCCTGACCTTTCTCTGTGGCTGCTTTTCATACATAAAACACATACAAATGGCTTTAAGGACAACACTAATTTGTTTTCAGACGTTAAAAATATCTTTATTATTTTTTTATTTAATATTTACCACTGTTTATAAAGAAATAGATTTAAATCTTTGAAGGAAAAGTCTTGTTAGTGTGCAGAATTACCTTTTTCACACAACTTTTCATGATAAATATCAAACATTTCTCTCGTATTTTTGATAAATAATCAACATTTTATAAATGACCCCCTTAAACTGTAAAACTGAACTGCAATTCAGTTGTGCTGTTTAATTATATGTTTGTGGTTTTAATTAAATTGCCCATGACTGAACTTTTAGGGGTGGAGATATTTTTCAGGGTAGAAGAGGAAATGCTTACTTGAAGTGGCAGCTCTGATGTGATATTAGGAAACTGTAAGTGGCTGTTGTGTTGAAAATGAGTGTTAATGTAATAATTTTCAGTTTACATGTCCAGTATAGGTTTAATTCATTCAAGGCAGTCATATTTGTTCATAGTTTTATTATTAGTAAGCCTGAGAGTTACTGGATCCAAGCAAACAGTCACCAGAACGCACCCTGTCAAATAAGAGCGTTCCCAGATCCTGTTCCGGCAGGATCCAGCTCAAATTAACCCCTGAATGAAATCATGTGATTCTCGGTCAGTTGGAAACCAAGGAGATAAGAGAGTTAAAAATAAGAGAGTTAAAATCTGACTGAACCCGGAGCTGATGAGAAACCTAACCCTCTGTGAAAACGGTGCAGCTTTTACAATTTGTAACACCTAAAACTGATGAAAAGCATTTACAACAAAAAAATAAGGTCCGTATCAGCATCATCTAGCTTCAGTCCGTCTTGATGCGGAGCGGAAATTCACCAGCACACAGAATAAAAACAAGAACCTGGAGAACAAGCTCTCCAGAAGAATGTGGAGTTTGTGATGGTGAACGGTGCACAGCTGAAGGCAGAGCATGAGAAAATCCACATGCAAAACAGAGACGTCCTGAGGAGACAGCTGGGGTGCTGCAACAATGAACTGCTGGCGTTGGGAAAGAAAATCAACATCCAGGAAACTGATCTGCGAAGGGAGCACAAGCAGGAGGTCCTCACACCCAGCAGCAGCTGAGCCTGAGCAAGAAGGGACGTCAGTGCAAGGAGGGATGGAGTAAATCCATCTTCTGAAGATGGAGGACCAGAGGCTTGAGAGGGACAGGAGCTTCTTTGAAAAGATGTGGAAGAAAGGAAGCGTTCAGCTTACAGAAGGAGAAGCTGTCTAAGTGCATGGCCTGTCACTCAACAGGGAGTTAGACAGAAGACAGGATGGTGGTTTGCCATCAAAAACATGAGCTCAGAAACCCAAGCAAGAAGTTCTTGACCAGAAGTTTGACATTTTGCAGAATGAGCTGCTCATCCAGATTGAAGAGCAAGGAAACATTCAGGCCTGTGAGGAGCTGAAGCAAAGCCCAGCTCAGCTCTCCGGGCAGTTCCAGCAGTGCCAGACAGCGCTCAGGAACCGGAAAATAAGCTGCAAAAGAAAAAAATAGACTTTTGCACACCGTTCATTTTCATACAGCCCAGTGTGTGCATAGAACCTGGTGCTCATGCACAGTGTGTTTGTGCAACACAATTCAGTTTATTTCTATAGCCCCAAGTCCCAACTGAAGTTATTTCAGGGCACTGAACAGAAACATTTATATACATAAGAAGTAAGTTAACAACGCTATTTATCTGAGAGCAGACTGCTTTGAGTCTAACGTCATCGCAGACTCATTCTGAGCAAGCATAAAGGTGACAGTAGAAAGAAAAAACTCCCTCATGAGGAAGAAACCTCCAGCAGAACCAGGCTCAGGACAAGCGGCCATCTGCTTCAACCAGCTGGGTTTGAGAGGAACAGGAAGGATGAACAGATACACAATGGCACGTCTTTAAGACATGTTTGTAGTCTAAGTAACTGATTGGTTCATTGGGTTTCATGGACAAATATATAACTGTATCATCAGCATAACAATGAAAACTTATCCCATGCTGTTTAATAACATTACCTAATGGAAGCATATATAAAGTAAAGAGTATTGGTCCAAGCACTGTACCCTGAGGAACCCCATGACTAACTTTTGTGTATGAAGAATATTCATTATTTACATTTACAAACTGGAATCCATCAGATATGATTTAAACATTTTAGAGCCGTTCCTGTAATTCCAGCATCATATTCAAGTCTCTGTAGTAAAATATTGTAACACACGTCGTTGACACATGAGGACCCAGGTCTACTCAAGGTCCTCGTCATTTTCACAAACATCCAAATTATTTTCGTTTTGTTCTGTTTTGCAGCTGAGAACCACAACAAGAAAATATTTAGTGTGGGAGAGATCACCAGGCTGATGAAGTTTCCAAGAGTGACGAGGATTTTTCTGATTAAAATCATTGCAGGTTTGCCTTCAGGTAAGAGCTGTGTCTACGTAGATTTAGATAAAGACTTGTTTTTTATGCTAATTTAAAAGCAGGTCAATATTTCTGTTTTGTTGTAAAACAATGTTCAATTAATATGTTTTTATATTAGCTCTCCAAAAAAAATAAGAAATAATGTAATTGCCTGTGTTTTGTTATGAGTCCCTGTGTGTTTTTCCCTGTTAGCAAAATATTTCATGAACTAAATTACAGATTTTAATGAAGCTCATTAGATAACTGTTCGATGCACGTCTACTGTACAACTGAGTGGCGGGCGATATGCATTTCTCTATCAATCAACCTTTATTTATACAGGTAAATCCCATTGAGCCTCGAGGACTCATTTACAAGAGAGACCTGATTTCAACAAAGAAAGATGACAACAATGGACAACAGCAACAACAATAAACAGTTATAAAAACTCATACTACAGTTTTTTTTTTTGTTTTTTTTTTTTAACAAATAGGATGGCTAAAAGGAAAAAGGTAACAAAACAAAAAACAGCTAGATTCCAAGACAAATGTAGAAAACTAAAAACAGGAACATGTCTGCATTGGTCCCTGCCAGGAGTCCAACAGATTCTTAAAGCCACTTAGAGAGGTCAAGGTCGAGAGCTTCAAATCTTTTTGTAAGATATTCCAGGAAACAGGAGCGGAGTAGGAGAAGGCCCTTTTGCCTAGTTCAGTCCTCATTGAGGGAACGCTGCAGGTAATAATGTCCTGAGAGCGCACGCTGTAGCTGCACTCACGCAGAGACATGGAGGAGGAGATGTATGAAGGCAGCAGACCAAGAAGTGATTTAAATATGAAAATGTACCAGTGAGAGAGTCTGCGTGAAGTTAATGATGACCAGTTAACCAATGAATACAGAGTGCAGTGGTGGGTACGATAATCACAGCCAGTTATGAATCTTAGTGCACCATGATAGACAGCATCCAACATCTGCAGGGTGCTTGTAGGAGCGTTCATGTAAATAATATCACCAAAATCAATTGAAGGAAGGAAAGTCACAGATACAAGGCGTTTTCTAGCATTCAGGGTTAGACAGGATTTGTTTCTGAATAAGAAACCCAGTTTAACTTTCAGTTTCTTTACCAAGTTTTCCACATGGAGCTTAAAAGAAAGATGTGAGTCGACCAAGATACCCAAATATTTATAGGAATCAACAAACTCAATGGGGACACCATTTGAGGATAAAATCGGAGGAAGAACTGCTGGGACCAACTTCCTATTTGAAAAAAGCATCCCTTTGGTTTTTTCGGCATTTAGGACAAGTTTGAGGCGGAACAAATCTGTCTGGATGTAGTTGAATGCAGATTTCAAAAGATGGAAAGCCTTAGCAACTGTTTTAGCTCGACAATAAACAACTGTGTCATCAGCATAGAAATGTATGGATGCATAAGGGATGTTTTTACCTACATTACGTATGTAGATTGTAAAGAGGGTGGGTCCTAAGACTGAGCCTTGTGGTACACCATTGTTGAATGTTAAATAACTGGAGGAAGTGCCATTATGTTGAACACATTGCCTCCGGTCTGAAAGATAGTTAGAGAACCAACCAATGGTGTGATCTGAGAAACCAATTTCTGAGAGTTTATGACACAAGATGTTATGATCTTTAAGCAAGGCTTTTATTTTAAATTTGGTGCCTTGTTTGGATGATGAGTCTTTACCTGTAAACTGATCTGATCCGTTCTTTGTTGGACCAAAAAACAAAACCATTTAGGGTAAAACCAACTGGTTGAAATAAGAGTGTGCATTATTTTAAAACGGTCACCTTGATATTTGCTCGTTGATGAGAAGTTCCTTCTGTTCCATAAGGCATATTTCAGGTGATGTTCTCCATCATCGCTCTGGACTTCTTCAAGCTTGAACCTGAGCAGAACGGATACCTGATGGCGTACTTTGGCATCGTTCAAATGGTGAAACTGGGATGAGCTCGGATGAGATTGAGGTTTAGCTTGTGGTGAGAACAGACGGCATCAATAAAAAGTGTTTCTCCAGGTTGTTCAGGGAGGAGTGATCGGTCGGCTCACAGCGAGATATCAAGAGAAATCACTGCTGCTCCTGTCCATCGGAGTCTCTGCTGCCGTGGGACTAGCGCAGGTACCCACCCCCCCTTTTTTTTTTCTTTAAGACATATATTTTTGTTTCTCATTTGGAATAGCATTTATATAACTTTGTTTGATGTTGTAATTTTTTTTTCTCAAAATGCCATCTGATCTGCAAACATAAAAATGACATTACTGTATTAAAATTCGTGTAGGCCTGGCTCCTGCAGGAGGGGAAGGAGGAACCAGGAGAAGGTTTAGAAGCACCAACCAGATAAAGTTGGGCTCACCTCAAGTCCGTTATTGGCTTGTTTTTATATACAAGCCTATTGGACCACTACCTTCGTACATATGTAATCTAAATGTACAGAAATGGGTAAAAAAGCTTTTGTTTATTCTGCACGTTTTGCAGAGTGACTGGAAATGAACAGACTAGTAAAATATCTCTTGAACCACTGAACAGATTTTAATGAAACTTGCAGGAAGTAGTCACTGAGCGGACCTCTACAACTGATTAAAGTTTGAAGTCAGACCATTTAAAGATGGCCACCACAGCGAATTAGAAAACACCAAAATTGTTATAAGCCAATCATTGTAACAGACACTGAGCTAAAGTTTGGTGTGTTATCATTGAGTGGATAGATATTTAGGATTTTTAATTTGCTGTACTTATTGAAAGATACAAGAGACGTTGGTTCACACATGGACCGAGCAACATAAATGTAGGTAACACCTCTGATATGTCAGAGTGTACAGTTTGTTTCTGTAACCTGAAGCAAATGATTGTTAAAACTCTATCATACAGACAAAATGAATAAGTTTGGTCCAACAGGTAGTGAGGATTGCAAAACTTTTAGCATGTCTCTACAGTATCTGTCATAGCTTCTCACGTTCTGTCAGTAAATGTTCCTTCTCACAGCAGAAGTGATGGCTGTTTCTTACTTCCTGTTTTGCAGGCCTACATGCAGAACGTGTTCCAGCTCTGCCTCACCGTCACACCAATGATCTTTTCCCTCAGCGTGTTTAACATCATCACAGACAGCATGCTCACCAAGAGCGTCCCGTCCTCCGACACAGGTGAGCTCATCTCATGCTTCAATTTTGTAACGCACAATCAGAAGAGCCGCGTTACGGACAGACGTTCTGAGCTGCAATTTGATTCATTAAAAAGTTACTGCTTTGAAATAAAGCTGCTTGAACTTATAGGAAAACAATCCAAAATGTATTCATTTATTCAAGTGTAGACAAAAGATTCAGAAGCTGGTCCACCAATGGTTTGTGGGGCATTTATGAATGCAAATGTTCATTTTGTGCATTTGTCTTATTCACAAGCCTTCTCAAAGAGAGCTTTTACACCCTACACAACTTAAATGAGGTATTATGCATGCATTCATGGAAACCCTTCCATATTTATGTACATAGCAGCCAGGACAAAGTGTGTCTGATGCTCAAAGACCAACAGATGGACCAATGTGGCTTTAGAGTCCAATATTTACCTTTTCCTGTGAGCTTGGTTATTTGCCTCCCAGATGAATAAAGGACTGAAGTTTAACAACCTGCTGCACTGTTGCCTTAACAAAGACAGGGTAGGTATGTCAGGAAAGATATTAATTATCTTCTCTTCGTTATGAGTGTCAGACATTTTCGCATTTACAGTCCAAAAAGTGCATTTAATCCATCTGGACTACTGAATGTAGATGTACAACAACTGATGTAGGTTTACATTCAGAGAGTAAAATCTCTTTTAAAGACAATGATTCACAATCATTCACAGATTACAAATCAAAACTCAAAGTAATTATTATTGGTATACACCTGAAGATTGTGCAGTGCAGTCAACTGTATTTTGGTACAAAATGAGCTAATAGTACTTGAGACTAAAAAAGTAAAGTCAGGTCCTCTGGACGGATTCTACCGTACAGGGAAACTAAACAGCCACTGGCCAAAAGGATGAACCAGAACAGAAGATCAACATCATCAGGCCAGGACTCTGCGGTCTACACTCATCTCCAGGCCAGCGGTCACTCTTTCAGGGATGAAGATGTTCACATCCTGGACAGAGAGGAACGATGGTTTGAGAGAGGAGTAAAGGAGGCCATCTTTGTGAGAAGAAACCGTCCATCATTAAACAGGGGTGGAGGCCTCCGGGTTCAACTGTCCCCCTCTTACAATGCTGTGATTGCTAGTATCACTCAGCCCCCTGTGAATAGTAAACAGCCATCAGGGTGCTAATGATCCATTGTTAGGCTGATGGTCCTTCTTGAGCATGTGAGCAGCTGGTTTTGGTTGTCAGCAGCAAAACTGGTTGATCCACTCTGAGAAGGTGCTATTTAAGAGACTGAGCTGAATACAGCACCTCAGAGTGAGGAAGTCTCTCGGATGAGAGACGAAACGTTTCTACATTTTTGTTGCTTTCTTTTGTTTTTTGAATGTCCAGAGGACCAGATTGAACTTTTTTGGATTTTTCTACCTGGATTATTGAGCATGCATCAGGAAACTCGTATTATAGTTTTGGCAAAAGTGTTTCACGTCTGATGCCCTTCCTGACACAACCCTCACAAAATGTTCATTTGTGCAGCTATCATTTTAAAGATATTAATAAAAAAGTTTCCAGAGGTCATCAAAGGCCAACAAAAATCTGTTCATGTTGGAACGGTGAGTTTAATTTGAAAATGCTTAGGTGCTGAACTATGAATATGAATAGATTAATTTTAACATGGATAAAATTCATTTTGAACTAGGTTTTATTTAGGATGAACTGGTACAACACCGGCAGCACGGTGGCGCAACTGGTAGAGCTGCTGCCTCTCAGCGAGCAGGTCCCTGGTTCAAACCCCGGTCCAGGGGCCCTCTGGGTGGAGTTTGCATGTTCTCTCCGTGCATGCGTGGGTTTTCTCCGGGTGCTCCGGTTTCCTCCCACAGACCAAAAACATGCATGTTAGGCTGATTGGTAACTCTAAATTGTCCCTAGGTGTGAGTGAGAGAGTGAATGGTTGTTTGTCTCGTTTGTCTCTATGTGTCCCTGTGATGGACTTGCGACCCGTCCAGGGTGTACCCCGCCCTTCGCACAGTGATTGCTGGACATGGGCACCAGCGACCCCCGTGACCCAAAATGGAATAAACGGGTAAAGAAAATGGATGGATGGATGGTACAACACCTCCATAAAACAAACCCACTGACCTGTATTTTGGTTTCTGACCACCAGGGGGTGCTATCAAACCCACTGTACTTTTGCACTTTTGTACATTTTGACCTCTGGAAACATTTATTAATATTTTAAAAATGATAGCTGCACAAATGAACATTTTTGCGGCACAAATCAGCACAAACGTTTGACACCAATTTTGTTAGATTTGAAGAAGGTGAGGGGACCAACTTCACTCAGGTATCCAGAGGATCTGATTTTACTTTTTTAAATTTTTCCACCTGGATTACTGAGCATGCATCAGGATAAAGTAATTGAGGTTATTTGCTCTGTGACTGATGCAAAGATGGAGGACACAGCAGGAGCCATGTTTACAGCTAAACTGGAGCAAATAGCACTCAGAAGTGAATCTGTCCCTCAGATTCATGCTCGCTTCATATCAGACAGCAAGTATTTCCAGAAGTTGTGATGTTACTTATTGAACTTTCTCCTACTCAGGAACTATGCTGGGACTGTGTGCATCGGTTCAGTCCCTGATTCGCACGATTGGACCGACGATTGGCGGCTTCCTGTACGTGAACTACGGCCTTCCTTCTATAGGTCTGATCAAGTGCTGTGTGAACGCCGCTGTGTTCGCTTACCTGCTGCGCCCCGAGAAGATAGAGAAGCAGATGGAATGAAATCTTGTTCAGTTCTTAAAAAATACATTTTGCCTTATGTTTTTTTACTTGAGGAGATGTACAATAAATATAGACAAGCTTTTATACAACTTTATGCACATGTGGCTGTCCTTTCAGTTTGGTCACTTATGAACTGTCACAAAACCACTAGATGGCAGCAAAGCCTGGACTTTAATCACATGCTCTTCAGCTGTACAAAGTATTTTAAATAAACTTCAATCAGTTTGTTGCTAATAGGAGATATTAAAGGGTCAGTAGAAATTATTCTATTCTCACTTTATAAATCTGTGATCAAAGTTTTATTTTCATGTTTTTAATTAAATATTTTAAATGATTGCATGTTAATGTCTCAATTATTTTAAGGCACTTTAATAAATGGCTGTTTTTTAAAGATACTGTTGTGCTGTGAGTGAATCATTATTGTTTTGCTTTTTTTTCCACTCAGGAACGTCAGCTACTTGCAACATTAAACACACTCTGGACTTATTCTGAGAACATCCAGGCCACAGTGTGTGGTTTATGAAAAAAGTTCAATATTTGATTCTTTGACTTCTTCTTTCAGCTGTTCACCACAATAACCCCAAGTACTTGAAGTCCTGCACCTTTGTGACCTCTGCTTCTTGTAGCCTCACTGTTCCACCTCCTCCCTCTCATTCACACACATGTACTCTGTCTTGCTACAGCTGACTTTCATTCCTCTTCTTTCAAGTGCATACCTCCACCTCTCCAAGTTCTCTTCCACCTGTTCCCTGTTCTTATCACAGATCACAATGTCATCTGCAAACATCAAGTCCACGGGGATTCCTTCCTGACCTCATCTGTTATTCGGTCCATCGCCAGAACAAACAAGAAGGGGCTCAGAGCTGATTCTTGATGCACTCCCTCCTCCACTTTGAAGCGATCTGTTGCTCCTACAGCACATCTCACCACTGTCCTCTGTCCTCATACATGTCCTGTACCAGTCTAACATACTTCTCTGTCACTCCAGATTTCCTCATGCAATACCACACCTCCTCCCTCGACACTCTGTCAGATGCTTTTTCTAAATCTACAAAGACACAATGGAGTTCTTTCTGACCCTCTCTGTACTTCTCCATCAGCATCATCAGAGCAAATATGGCATCTGTGGTGCTCTTTCTTGGCATAAAACCATATTGCTGCTCACAGATAGACACCTCTTGTTTAAGTCTTGCTTCCACAATTCTTTCCCAGATCTTCATCGTGTGGCTCATCAACTTAATTCCCCTGTAAATGCTACAACTTTGTACATCACCCTTGTTCTTAAAAATGGGCACCTGCACACTTCTCCATTCCTCAGACGTTTTCTCACCCTCAAATATGCCATTGAATATTTGAGTCAAAAACCACACTGCCATCTCTCCAAGACATTTCCAAACCTCCACTAGTATGTCATCAGGTCCTACTGCCTTCCCCTTCTTCATTCCTTTCAGAGCTTTCCGGACTTCACCCTTCACTAATCTTTCCCACTTCCTGGTCCACAGTTTCTATGACCTCTACTCTTCTTTCTCTTTCATTCCCTTCATTCATCAGCTCCTAGAAGTACTCCTTCCATCTTCCCGTCACACTCTCCTCACTTGTTAGAACATTACCATTCCTATCTTTAACAAGCCTAATCTGCTGCACATGCTTTCCAGCCTGATCTCCCTGTCTCATCAGTTGATACAAGTCCTTATAACTCATCCTTAGTGTCCAGTGTCTTGTGCAGCTCATCTAATTTCCTTTAGCTACCTCCCTCTTTGCTCTATGCTGCATCTCCTTATATTCCTGTTTCCTCTCTTCATTCCTCTCACTGTCATTTTTCTGCTTGGCTAACCTTGAAGATTTCAGCACAGATCAAAAATAAAATAAAAAAATCTTCAGTAAATCAAACATTTTCAAATGTTGTTTCAACCACATCTGTGCTACTTACAATAACTGTATGTAGATTATTACATAAATAAAACTTCAACATGATGCGTACATGTTTAAAATCAGATCTGAAACTCGTTCAACTCCTACTGAAAACAAGGTCAGCTGTTGAATCTGTTCTGGTCAAAGTTTAGAGTATTTAGCCATATGAATGAACAAATAATTGATTGTTTATTTTAAAAAAAAAAAACTCAAAGAGCATCTTTTGAGCGTTAATCAGTCTCTGCTGTTCCCAGTTTAAATTTTATATTCAGTCTCAGTACATCCGGCTGCCAAGCTGCCGGATGCGTATGTGATGTCATGCAATCTGGAGCAGGTGTTTTCTTTGTTCCCCCAGATACTTTGTTTTGTTTTTTTTAAATATTAAATTCAACAATACCGGATAAATATGACCTTGTTTTAGCAGCAGGAGGTTGGGCTCGTTCCAGGCCTGGCAGTTCCTTCAGCAGATGCCACGGGTTTAATTTCTGTTCCTGCCAAAGACTGTTGAAACTGACAACTTGAAGGGATAATTCAGATTAGTTTCACAGTAATGTTCTGTAAAAAGGTTATGAACAATAGATATCTCTCCTGTTATGAAAAGCTTTTTGAACAATTTGGAGAAAAGTTTAATTTGTTACCAGAGTGGCAAGCTAATGACTGTTTTAAAACAGCTTCAGTTTTGATCAAAACTGTCACAGTATGTGTGGCGGATTGTTTCACGGATGGACCCAGCATGCAGGCCGAGGTGAGGAGTTCAAAATGTAACAAAACTTTTATTATCAAACTAGGAAAACAAAAGTCGGACGTGGCAGCACACTAGTAAGCTCTAGCATAAATAAACTCACCAGATACTGAAGGGGAAAATAGACAAGTGTGGACGGCTACAGTCAGAGGAGCATTAATGCTAATTAATGCTTAATAATAATAATACACAAATTTAAGCATAGATTTTAAAATACACCATCATAAATTGTGATAATAAAGTTCAAACATGTGCTATGACTCCTAAACTCAAACTATATATAACAGGTCTCTCTTGTAAATGAGACTTCAAGGCTCAATCGGAACTAACCTGTATACATAAAGGTCTAATAATAATAATAATAAAAAACTGACAAAACAAGGAAACAGAGAATAAATAACCAGAAACTAAAAGAACATTGATGCAGATGACAAAAGAGGAACTGCTGTGAAAATCAAAATATGACAATCCTCACACAAACCCTATTTTATACATTTTTATACTGTTGTCACTTATGGCAGGGGTTAGGTTTCAGATAGGTGAAAATCAGCGAAGTAGGGACATTATATTTATTTTAGTATATGTATATATATATATATATATATATATATATATATAGGCTCTATAAACCCTTCCCACTTTCTTGCATGTTCTTAACAATGTTCAAAACGCTCTAAAAAAGCACAGCGAAAGACAGCAGACAGACTAATGATACAGTTACTAAGCCAATACTGGGGATGGACTGGTCATCGGGAGCACTGGCACATTTCTCGGTGGACTGGCCCGCCCAGTGATCACCAAGGGGGACTAAAGGCTTGACTGTTTTAAATCAACAATCCATGCCGCTCACTCAGGTGTCTGCCTCACTGAATCTCTTACAGTAGTGATGGTGAAAGACAGACCCCACTCCCTCCTTTCTCTTTCTAAGGCTGTCTGTCAGAGCAGAGCTGTTGTGTGTCTGCTCTGCTCTGACATTCAGCCTCAGAAAGAGAAAGGAGGGGGCCCCTTTGCAATCACTGAGCGGGCCAGGCCACCGGGAAATGTTCCGGTGCTCCTGATGGCCAGTCTGCCCCTCAGCACAATGCTCTGGTTGGTTGCCTTCCATCAATCAGCTAATCGTGTGTTGTGTACAATCTCACGTTGAAAACCCGTGAAAGAGTGAGTCCATGAAAGTCAAACGGGAAAGTAATGAGGAACTACAGTAGTGTGATATTCCTGCCAAAAGTGCCTAAGAGGTGCTATTGCTAGCTGCTTCTGTTATTTGTGCTTGCAAATAATCACTAAATTTTATGTAAATAACCAAATAATGATAAACTTATGGTGAGGCAAAGATTTATGAAGTAGAATTCCCACGAACCACTTTGAAATTGTTCATACTGGGATAACTTGTAAGACCACAGCAACTGAAGACAGTCAAAGAGTTATCTACAACAGGAGAGAAATTTTGGTTCATAATCTTTAACAGAACTCCACTTCAAAAAAGCTGAACTATCACTTTAACAGGATTAAGACATTTATAAAGTATCAGACCCCCCCCCCCCCCCCCCCAACAATGTTCAGTCTGGTCATCTGGACAGTTTCTTTTTTTATTTTTATTTTTTTGGGCTGAAACGTTTCACCTTCCATCCAGAAGGCTTCATCAGGAAGGTGAACCGTTTCAGCACAAAATAAATAAATAAAATAAAATAAACTGTCCAGATGACCTGACTGAAAAAATGTTGGATTGTATACCTGGATTATTGAGCATGGACTTTGTTGATCAGAAAGAAAAACAATACATTTCAAAATACAGCCCTTGTTTATCTTAACAACGTGTTTTTGGTTTATATCAAACTGAAACTTAAACTAAAACATACTGAAGTGTTGAAGGGATGCAGTAGCTTGATGGTCAGTCCAGCTGTCTTGTTGAGGCCGCAGGTTCAAGCCCAGGTTGTGTCAGGATGCTGATCCACTGTAAAACTGTTAGCAAATCTTTCAACAAATTTGCTCGTTCTTTCTAGCTGAAAGGAAAACCTGGTAAAAACACAACATTTTATATTTTCAAGTTGAAGTTTTATTTTAAAGTTAAAACCGTTATTTTCAGAATACAGACAATGGCAACCAGTGCTTTTCTAACAGGGATCGTTGTTGAAAACCACCCATGTATTCAAAGCACATTTCCCAAAATATTGTTCAAAGTTTTTAAAAGTGGATTAAGAAATCTAAAACGGTGAAGCATGGTGGTGTAAAGTTTATCTTTAGGGAGGCTTAGTCATCTGATTGTGAGCGGCTGTTTGGATGGACTGGACTTTAATGTGATCAGACCTCTCAGAGGGAATCCCATCATCTGAGTCCGATCCTGCACCCGAGTCATTACCTCCTGCTCAGCCGTCTTCGGAAACTTTGGTGTACATGTCGCACATTTTATGCTCCATCTTTGCTTCTTTCTGACTCACAGAAAGGGTTTGATGGATGTAAAGGGTGTCACTGTATATGGGACTCCAGCGGGGGGTGGTCCTGACCACTGGAGAGGGTGCCTGGTTACACTTGGCCCTTTGAGTTGAGACGAGGTAGGACAATGGT